TTGTTTATTCCAATATCACTCTAAAAACAAGATCATTGGAACCTTTTAAATATGAATTTCCACGCAAAACAAAATTTTTGTCGGCACATTTCATGTTCTTTTGTTCCAAACAGGGGTTTAATGAGAAAGAACTACCTCTCATGCAATCTCGGAAAACACACATACACTTTATATTAAGTTAAGCAGCAATATCACATAGATTTATGGAAGTGAGTATTATATTATACAAGCAATAATCTTACATACAAGATAAGAATAGTCAGACTAACAACTTATTTACAACAACAAAGGTCTCTCTTGCTACTTTGCGTAGACTTTATATAATCAGAGGGGACTATGAGAACAAAAATCGTTCTGATTTAAGATTATTCCCTCCTTACCGTATATATTCTATGAAATCTAAGTGCGCAGGGATATATATGCGCCAGTAATTAGTGAATCGAACACTCACTATGTAATCAGATTGCTATAATTTATGGTATCAATCCGCTCTCATCGAGTATTACATTTGTCGCTTGGTCTCACTCACCAGCATATTGAACAATACTTCCACCTTTAAATGAGAAACTTAATGGATTCCAACAACTTTCAGATGAAGAGTATATAAGTGAAAAATTATCTTACCAATGTTGTTTTCCATATCTCATTTACTTATTAGGTATGATTCGAATGCATGTGGTGAACAAAATACGTCTATTACAAGGTTGTATAGAGACTCTTTATTTCTTCCATGACCAGGAAAAACATCTTTGCCATGAAAACGTACGGATGCTATACAAACATCGCAAGAGAGAGAGACTGATTGAATGTGACTTGAAGTCACTGCCTTCTTCATCCACATTCTTAGTGATCTCCCATTCGTAATCTTTTCAAATAATATTAAGTTTAGTATCAATATTCTTGGGAGGCATCACATAAAAGACCATAGATTATCTTTACGAGTTTTCTTGGTTGTGAGAGCACATCAATTCTATTTTTGTGATTTTGAATAGGCTCTCCGATTCATCTAGTCATTCTTCCTTGACACGCTACTTTGATTGTGCCAATTCAAAAAACTTCCTCCAATCACATATGTTCAGAAGTGAGAAGATACATCCTTTCCAAGTTTTCAATATTTTCTTGCTTAATTATTGCCTACACACATAATTCCTGTACCCATCGATGACTGAGAATATCATACCAGCATTGATATGAGAATGAGCAATATGACCAATGCATTTACTATTAATAGAAATATCGCACAAACATTTCACAAAGTAATATCTTAACTCATTATCTGACCAATAAATACACACTCAAACAGAAGACTATGTGGACGCACCATTTTTTGCCATCAGATAAAGTGTGAAGAAGTGCATCTACAAGTTACAACATCACAATATAGAGTTAAAACTGATGATTATCATTATTTTAAAATGGGATGGCATAAGAGAGAGAGAGAGAGGAGAGAGAGACTGAAATATATATTAAAGAAAATTACTAAAGACAAATAAATGAAAAAGTTAAGAAAACAATAGTTTGATAATAAGGACGGTTTTAAGAAACTAGAGAACTCTATATTTCTATTTAAGTCTCTCTCTGTGTGGAAAACATAAGTCTTCCTTCATAGTCTTGTCAAATTGATCGTTATTATGTACAGATTTATGAGAACCCTAATAATTTCTCATGTATAGAGGTACAAAAGAAAAAGTACACTTACACTCGTGAGAAATTGTCAAATTAGCTAGCACAAATTCTTCTCAACCAGGAGACTTATTATGATGACCAGTTTGATTCTATCTTTAACACCATAAGAGAGGAGTAAATGTAAAGGCGTCGTGCATGCATAAAGCAATGCAATTTTAACCAATTCCATTATCCCAGATACATAGATTTGTGTGGCGTTACGTCAAAATCACACATAAGCTGAGATTGGTTTGTCACTCATATGGACCCAGTCTATATATCTAACATCAACGAGATAATATCTGAGTTTTACTACCTCCACACGCATAGAAATTTTGGCACATATTACATCTTCTATGTCACTATGTCAAATTTATAGATTGGTTAAGATATAATTATATTCCCCACCCCGCGGTCAGAGGCGTTAACCCTGACGAACATGTAAGCCAATAGAAATCAATGTTTTGTAAAATGTATAAATTCACAAAGTCCTCAATCGCAAAGTCCAAACTAGGCCAACTATCCAAAAAACCTTCTTTTCGAGATATTATTAGATATTTCATACGAAAATTGATATATTAACTGAGCTCTCAAACCACTAATCATGTTTCAAAACTTAATTTTCATCAAAAATCTAAAGTTTCCAATCAAATAAAAATCAAATATCATAGTTTTTATTTAGAAATAAACCCTCATCGGAAAGAATAAACGAAAAAAAACTTCAAATATGGAGATAACTAACAACAAACAAAAACAAAAAATATAACTTTTGAGAATTCTATATATATGGCTATATGAATAACTATGCTGAATATTATAACACAACACAACACTAGATTTGAAATAGGACACAACTGTATACATATTTTAATTTAGTCAATTTTATGTATACAGATAGTTGGAAATAAGAAAAGCAATATAAAGATAGAGGAGTTCGAAGTCGTATATAAACAGAGTAAGTATTAATAATATATTTCCAGTAACGAGTTTAGGACCTATAGTGGCTGACTGTTTAGAATTTTGCATTTTTTGGGTGTGTTTAATTTCAATAATGTTCTATGGTGTTATAAATACTATTTCGAGTAATTTACTATTTTGTTAAATTTAAGTATTATTTTCTATTTTTGGTTTTTTGATATGTCCAAAGTTTCATTTTTTCTTTTTTACACTTCTCGACATCCGGTGTCTCTCATAGGTGAGAGTAAATCGACATTTTACAAACAATATATGGAGCACCTACTTTTGGAACATCTTGCAAGCAGAGAAGATGAAAGAGGAAAGGGAACGATTTGAGTATGTAAACTGACAATCGGTATATAAAATGACATTAGCTGATTGGAAATATGTAGTAGTTGTGGACTATAATATACACATGTGTATTAGCGAGATCTTTTCTTATTGAAGTGAGTGCCCCTCTTATATTTAGACCACTGTAAAAGAACATAAACATGATGGGGCGCTAGGCGGTACATGACCTGCGATTACAGTCTATCATGGCCGCAGACGAGTGGAGAGTCACAAATCAAGTCGTTGAAGATGTATAACCAAAAAATCACAGCAAACCTTGACACGCTATTAATAGAGAGGAGTCAAAGTAAGAATAATAATATGTATGCATTGCCACCGTAGAGGATACTACCGGGTGAAATCAATTGGAGCAATAGGCTTCAGATTAAATTGGTAAGGTTATGAGTGATTCACTCTGCTGCTCTCTCTCCCGCTGAAATTCTCTCCTAAGGCAATCCTCAATAATCATCATGTCATAATAACTCTCAAATGAGGTTTTAAATCTCTTTAGACGTTTAAAGCTGGCATTTATTACACTGCGCAGGATAATTATTTCGGTTTATTCATATTGGAGTCCAAAAAATGAATTGAAATGCTAGAAGGAGTTTTCATCATATCCTATGTAGTCTATCATCATAAAATCAATAAGATGCGCGCTCAAACAAACTTGGTAAAATATCCTCTACTTTCCAAAGTATCTTTATTATATTTTTTTATACAAGAACAAGAGAAAAAAATAATAAGCCTCTGTAAATTAATTAATCGGTTCTGCTATCCATACGTATAGTCTTTACACTCACGAGAGCGAGTAACTATGACTTGAGAATAGAGCATGTATTAATGAAATGACAATAAAGTCCCCAAAAAGGAGGGAGACACATTATAGATTGAATTAATTAACACAGAAAGATGATCTCTAATGAGTGCGAAGCATTCTTTGGCATAAACATCAAACATACACCAAATTCATAATCAATGACAGGCACATATTTTGAGAGAGAGAGAATAAAAAGAGTCATGAGATGCTCTTTTCCATCCTGCTAATGAATTATTTTATTTTTTAACTGTACTCTTTAAGTAACGCCTATATCGAAAATGTAGAATATCAAGATGATAGAGAGTATATAATTTGGGATTTTTTCCTATAATGGTAATGGAGGCAGTATCAGTGAACGTTGTAGCATCAATTACAACCTTATAGCCTCGAATCTTGTCAACTCTCCTATTATTACCCTCTAATGAATTATCTAGAATAGAGAACAAGATATTGTTTCTTTTTGATGTTGTTCTTGATAATATCTAAAACTCTTTTCTGAAACAGAATATAGAATGACTACCTGTAATTGTCGACCTCTCCCTCTCTTCCGTTAACTTTTCACAATTAACAATTCCAGTTTAGTTATACAAGAGACAAGAAAGTGTTTCTAAACTAGAATTTGTATGGCTCCTTTGTGAGAAGCGTGACTAAATTCTAATTACTGTATAATATAGTAACCTCAAAACTTCTTTTCTCATAGTTAACTCACTCCTAATGATAAAGAATGTATTTATTAAAATAAATATATAAAATAAAAATAATATTGATAAAATTATTCATTTAATTTAATGATAAATGTATATTTAATTTGAATCTCTCTTCTCAGTAGTAAAAAATTACTAAAAAAATATTAAAATAAAAAACAGAACAATAAGAAAATATTGTTCTAAAAAGAAGAATTTTTAAATGGTTTTTGTCAAGTTTGATAAAATAAATAAGTTAAATAAATAAAAAAAATTGAAAAATTGATTTTGTAGAAGGAGAATGGTGGTTTTATCATAAAAAGTTAAATTGCTTAGTTTTGTAGAGTTCATTTGAAAATTCCACATATTCTCGTGAAATTTGGTTTAATTATACTGAGTTCCATAGAATTGAATTTCTAGAATTGAAACCTATATTTTTTTTTTTATTCCAAACACAAAAAAATGAACTTTTAAATGAATTTCACCAAATTTTGTGGCATTCATTTGTTCCAAACAGGGGTTTAATGAAGAAAGACTTCTCAATCTCAAACACAACTTTATATACAGCAATATCACATAGATTATGGAAGTGATATTATATTACAGCAATATCATATACAAGTAAGAAAGTCAACTTACAACTTTTACAAAACAAAGTCTGCTACTGCTAAGACTTTATATACAGAGATTTTGAACAAAAATCGTTGATAAGATATCCCTCTCTAAATTCTAAAGCTATGTCGGAAAATGCCATAATAGAATCGAACTAATGTAATCAAATGCATTTTTAGTCGTACATTACATTCCTTTCCACTCCAGCATATATCAAACTCACCTTAAGAACTATAACAACTTCAGAGTGAGTTGTAATGAATATCTTCCATGTTTTCATTCATCTTGGAGTGATGCTAGGAACAACTCCGCTAACAAGGTTGCTGCCGGAAACATCTGATGAAACGTACGGATGCTTCATCATCGACGATGAAGGTGATGAAGTCACTGTCTTTTCATCATCAGTGCTCATTGTATCTTTTATTTTAGTATCAGATTCTGGCATCATAAGCCAGATACTTTCGAGTTCTCGGACCACATCAACTATTGAAGGTCTCAAATCTGTCTCTTCCTGACAGCACTTGATGGCCAAATTCAAAAACTTCTCCACACAGTCAGAAGGATAAGAACCCATTCGTCCATCGATGACTGAGAATATCATACCAGATTGATATGAAACATTGACCTGATACAAATAGAAACCACAAAATTACAAGTATATAACTATAGAAATAAAATAAACAGAATAGTGACAAATTTTGCTCTAGAGATCATCTACAAGTACAACATACATATAAACATGATTATATATTTCAAAATGGCAAAAAAAAAAAAAAAATGATAATATAATTACTAAAACAATAAAAAGAGAATCATAGTTGAAAAGGGTTAAGAAAGGATATATTCTTGAACTTCTTCCTTCATTCTGCAAATGATGTTTTTGTAAGATTTGGAGACCTAATTTTCTTGGTACAACAAAAACTTACTCGTGAGAATGTCATAGCTCACAACCAAAGTAATATTATGCTTGTACACTAGAGAGGATGATGGCGGTGGTGCAAATATTACCTCCCGAACAATGTTCTTCCCATGTGAGATTGGTTGCATCCCAGTCAACAACTCCAGAAATACAACACCAAGGCTATAGACATCACTCTTGTCTGTCAATTTATGTGTTAGAAAATATTCCGGGTCAAGGTAACCCTGCAAAGTAAGCAAGATGTTTGATATATCAGAATGTCCCACCACTATCAAAAACCTTTGATATTATTATTTCAAGAAAATTGATTTAACTGGTCTCAAACTACATTTTCAACTTGTTCATTCTTTTAAATAAGGCTATGAATAACTTGCTATTTAAACAACATAATTGAAAGCACACTGTAACTATTTTTTTTTTCAAAGTGGAATGAAGTTAATGGATCAATTTATCAGAAGATGATATTTTCCATGACATTCACCTATAGGTGATTTAATTGCTTTTGGGTTTATACATATGCAGGTTAATACATCAGTTTTCTCCGACATGGCCAGAGGTAGACATTTTACACACTTTTAATTGCAGAAGAAGTGAGAGAAGGAAGATTGAGATGAACTGCAAGATAAAGACAACTGTTAATAGAGAGTACAAATATTGTAGACTTACTGGAGTGCCCTTTACAACTGTAGAAACATGGGCTGGCACAGACCCTTCAGTATCTGGAACTGGGGCAAGTCTTGAGAGTCCAAAATCAGCAACCTTCGCATTAAAACTAGAGTCAAGTAATATGTTGCTTGCCTTGATATCTCGGTGAAAAATTGGAGGATTGGCTTCAGTATGTAGGTATGATATACCCTTCGCTGAACCTAAGGCAATTCTCAATCTCATCGCAAAACTCAAGGGTTCTTTAGACTTAGCTGCAATACCGCACGAGGTTTATCAACTATGTAGCTCATCATATAATCATATGGACATCTTACCAGTTCTTATATTTTATAAAGAAAAGAAAAAGATATGCTCTTTAGTTGATTCTTGCTCATTATAGTTTTCCGGAATGACTGATGGAGGATAAAAAAGACAAAGTCCAAAGGGGAAATATGAGATTTACCAGAAAGATGATCTCTAAGAGTGCCATTTGGCATAAACTCATAAACCAACATCTGCAGGCACAATGGAAATACAGTTGAGCTTTTTCCTCAATGATAATTTTTAACGCTACTGAAGCAAGAAAGAGAATATCAAGTAATTATATTTGGATTTTTCTTATGGATGGAGGCAGTATCAGAGTTGTAGATAAACCTTGCTGCAACTCCTAAATACCATTTCTAGAAAGAAACTGTTTCTTTTTTTTTTGCTTGAAATCTAAAACTCTGGAAAGATAAAAGAAGCTACCTGTTCACCTTCTTCGTCACAATATCCAGTCAAAGAAACAAGATTTCTATGATGTAGCCTTGACAACAATTCTATTTCTGTTAAGAACTCTTTCTCACCCTGTAAAGAATGCTCCTGGGCACGTTTGATGGCCACAAGTGTACCATCAGCCAGGATGCCTTTGTAAACTTTTCCATATCCTCCTTGACCAACTTGAGTGGAGCTGCTAAAATTGTTTGTTGCCAGGGCCATTTCAGAATAAGAAAAGTCCTTCACACCATCAATTTTCATGGAGGCTTTAGATGCTATACATAAATAAGGCACCATGTTAGAGATGGAACTGTTAAAACCAATAAATTTTCATTATCAAATGCTAGAGCAACATTACATATCAATCTCAGAAAATTTCAGCACAAATTGTATGTTTTGACCATTTACAAGAATATAGAATAAAGAAATGACATAAGAATTTGCAGAATTGATCCAACACTTGCGGAGAATCGTGGAGAAAAATTAATATTTACAGAAACAATATGGACATGGGAATAGAAACACTCACTGTGACGTCTTTTGGAAATTGCACGGTACTCCTTCGTATACATCCTCGTGATAAGAAGTGAAACAATTGCAGATAATGTAACTGTTCCAGCAATGGCACCCAGTATGATTCCAGCCAGGGCACCCTTGCTTATACCGGATGATGATGGTAAGGTAACAACCACTGTGAAGTAATGAGAACCATTAGCAAAAAAATATCAAAGTTATGCATCAATTTTATCATGTGCAAGTGTTGAAGGTATTCCAGGAACATAAGGAAATGTTATTCTCAGCTCATCAAAGCTCATACACAATCAAGCTTTGCGATCATTCGGCTTCATTATAGGCTACTGTAGCATAGACATAATTGCTAAAATACCTCATATAGCATTGCTCTAGCAAAGGCATGATATGCATAGATAATTTGAAGAAAAAATGAGGGCCAAATGTTCTACCGTTGCTTCATTATATTGCACACAACCAAACCACATGTCCACATTTATAAAAAGTGTGAGATACAAAGCAACATTATATGTTGATACAGATAATCCTTTCTAAGATTATTCATCAAGCATGCAGTATTTCTTGGCATTTACAAAATTAAGCTAGAAGGATTTTTGACAGTAAGAAATAAGTGCATGCCTGTTCGAGGAAAATTTTGTTAGGCACAGATGTAAGAGAAACAATCAGGTCAAACTTCAGCATATTGCAAAAAGATGATTTTTGGTTAGATCTTCACCATTCTTGAGCACAAGAAACATGCTTGTAGTCATCTTAAGTAACTATTTGGCAAGTTCACTTAAAAAGTGCATGAAACCATGATCCTAAATTCACATTTCATATTTTCTATCAGGTGAAATATATCAAAGTTCAACTAAAATATGCATTAACTTTGTGATAATCTGACAACAATTAAGATTTTGAGACAAACCATTTCTATATGGGTCCAGCAAAGTGAAGTAGATAAGTTCATAAGGTCCAAATATATCACTGTCAGGAATGTTCCATCCAGTGAACATGCCCATGATACGTAGAAGTTCACTTGTATTAAAGATATGAGAACTCTTGTTGCTAGCATCATAGACAGGAAACAGCTCCAATTGCATTTTTAATCTAGGTCCTTCTTCCCATTGGAAATACTCTATATATAGCTGATAAAGTTCTAATTTGAGACCAGATGTCAAATATTTCTCGAACATATCTCTATAGGGTGGAAAATCGTATAGTCCAGGGCTTTTCAATCGATATCCGACAATAAGCGGGGCAGCACAAAAACAACGTATAGGAGATGTTGGGGAATATATATAAGGGCATGCTTGAACAGGGCAGTCATCAGAAGTGTTTGTTGAACCCTGCTTGTTAAGATCCTCATTCTGAGATCCACAGAATTGGTCTAGGTTGGAATTTAAGCATATAGGGTTCCCTTGAAGCCTGAAAATTGTCTGGAACCGTTAGTGTGTGAAAAGGTACATATGCATCATGAAAATCAAGACATAACATAGTATGCAAGTAAAGAATCAGACCAGAGTGAGACATTCTGAGGGAGACTAATAGTGGCACTTCCAGAAATGTTTGACAGTCTATTGTTCTCAAAGTCCCTGCAATATCATTAGAGTGTCAAACAATTTGTTAACAGCACAACTATGAGATACTACAAAATTATAGTCCACCCTAGAGGTGAAATTTTTAATCAAGGAAAATGGTGAAACTTTTAATTCAGCTCTTACAAGACAAGTCTTTCAGATCCACCCAGAGTACGATTTTGCCAAATGCTAGATGGAATGGAACCACTCAAAGAATTATTCGCAAGAGACCTGTCACAGAAAGTAGTCCAGTTAAGCAAATCTAATTTTTTAGAGTTAAATGTTTTCCACAGTTATTATTTTAATTAGTGGCATCACAATATTACAGAAATGGGAACATAAATTGGAACTGAATTTGGCACATTAAAAATTAAGAAATAAGCATGTGGACAAGCACTTACAATTTCTGAAGATGAGTCAGGCCAGAAAAGTTGCCAGGAATACTTCCAGTAAGATTGTTGTTGGATAAATCACTGTAAAATTGTTTGGCTAGTGGATATCATTGAAGAGATATAAAATTAAATATTTAAAATACTCAAGACACTTAGGATTTACTCTAAGTCAACACATAGTAACATAATAGTGACATGACACACACACAGACACATTAATTCAAGCAAATTCCCCAAAAAATGCAAATGGTGCAACATTTGAAAGATAGAGAAATCTTACATAGTTGTAATATTCTCAGCAAGCCTTCCTGGAGGTATGGATCCATTTAGCTGGTTTGAACTGAGGTCTCTGAAAATTACATCAAAATTTCGCTTGTGAGAAAAAATAAATAACTAAAAAGAGCCAGGACAGACCTTCTAATAGGAATAAATAGAAGTTTATTCAGTTTTATGCATTTCAAATTTCAATTGAAAAATCCTGTAATCACCATTAATGATCTGGAAAAGAAAAGAAATTATAAACTTACAGATAGCCAAGATCTCGTATACTGCTCAGATCAGGGATCGGACCTTGCAAGCTACAGTTTCTGAGACTCCTGATAAACAAAAGAGGGCATAGATGACATAACCACCATACTACGACTATAGTTTTGGAAGTAGATTAAGCTTCTAACTTGTCAGAGCTAGTTGACACTATATATTTTCATTTCCACTACAATGGAAAATTTAAGACAAAATGTTACAACAGATGGAAAGGCAATCATAAAAGAGAAACTTAATTTTACCAGACATACCAATATGTTCCATATTTCAAAAGGAAATAAAATGCAGTCATATGACATTAGTCGAGCAATATATCAAGGTTTCTATCACTTTTGGCAATGTGGGACCTGGTAGGAAGGAGATCTGCAACAACTCTTACCCATATCTTACCATTTCTTTACTAGGTACTTATTAGATCGAAAAAAGTACATTTAAGTTCTTTTCATTATTGGGAAAAGTCCTTAAATTTTAAAGACACATGAATGCCAAATGTTTAGGGAGGCAATACAATGCAGTCATATGAATATAGTCTTTCAACTTCAAGTCAAATCTGAAGATAGCCAACACAGACAATTACAAAAATGCAAATAAGGTCTTTTTTCACATTATTCAAGTTAGTATCTGTTATATTTGTATCATCTCTTACTTATTCGAGCTGTCATAATTATTACAGAAGTACTGAACCATAACAGAAAGCTCAAAGTTTAATATGCTGTATGATTTCACAAAATCCCATTGGTTTTAATGTGCAGATGAACACAAGATTGCCACTTCCCTATGCATAGAGATGAAATGAGCTAAGCCAAGCCAAGTAATAAGGTGCTCTTCAAACTTGTTTCAGCCAATCTATAGTCAATTTGAGATCGCAGTAAGTTCAAAATGGGCGCCAATTGCATGGTTCAAGCAAGCTTCATTTGAATAAAAGATGCAGAGCTTGATGCCATAATCAAGTCACAACTACCAACACGTTTACTATTTTCAAATAATTTATTTACAATTTTAACATTAAATTAGTAAGAATTAATATATTCACTTTGACATACCCTAGTGCATTTCGTTCACCCACAAAGGCTAAATGTCCTCAAATTTTAAAATGAAAGGATAGTCCTTCCTTTTTACTCGCAGGAGGCAGTGTCCTTCTTATATTACTTGGTTTGTTCCTTGTCTTTAAATTTATTTGTTTTTCATTTTTTTTAGCTCAAAACCTAGACTCCAAAGCCAATATCTTCTGATCTAATGATTTATTTCTATGACTACCACAGCAAAGTTCTCAGGAAGAGGATAACCTTAAGCTAACATTCCACTAAATTTATTGCTGAAAGACCAAACTTTTGCAGCCAGTATCCTTATATCAAGCTTTAAATTAGCAGGTAAAAAAAATGTAAGTCAGCCAGTTCATGAACATAATTGGCTGCAGTTCATATTAGAGACTACATTATATAGCAGAAAAAAGATGTAATTAAAAGCCGAAGAATGACAATGAAGCCAGGCCATGCATCATGTTAAAAGATCTGAAATTTATGTTCATCAATGTGTATTTAACTCTTTAATTTTGTCCACAACTCTCAGGACTCAATCCCATGCATAATTTAAATACAGAAGCCAGCAAATTGCTCTCCATTCCAGGCTCCAAAAGTTAGTAAGAAGTTTCAGATTGAAATTTCCACTTACAATTTCAACAGTTTAGTCATGTTGCCATAAGAATCTGGAATTGCACCCCCATCAAAGTTGTTGTTATCCAGTTGACTGCATAAAAAAGAAATAAATGCAACAAAAAAATCTATTAGAAAAAAATATTGAAGGATAAGACCTACTGTAGTATAATTGACATAAAGAAACATAAAATCCTTCTTAATCTCTAGGGAAGTAGAGAAAGCATACAGTATAAGTAAGTTTGGCAATTCAGAGAACTGTGGTGGAAGATACCCAGATAAGTTGTTATTGTCCAGAAGGCTGCAAAATTAATTATATATCAACATATGAGCTGGTATGAGAGAAGAGCAAGAAAAGCATAGAATTAAATTTTACTGAAGATGTTCACAGATCGCTCTGTAAATACAAAGAAATGATGCATTTCTCTTATATAAATCTAGCCAATTGCCAACTTACAAGTGGACAAGACTTGGTAATCTGGATAGTTCTGGCGGGATTTGCCCACTAATTGAATTGTTGTTCATGTGACTGCCAAAAGGCAAACAAAACTCATAATATGAATTGAAAAATAAGTCTAAGAATCAAGATGTATTAACACAGGTTCTTATGCTAAATATCATCAAAGAAACTCTCACAAGTGCTTTGTTTTGTTCAAGTTAGCAAATGATGGAGGAATTGGTCCAGATATATGGTTCTGGTCAATCTGTATTCTATCCAAGTTTGGAAGATAGCCAAGCTCTTCAGGCAAGGGACCCGTTAATTGGTTTCCATTCAGAAGCCTGACAGAAAAATTATAATAGAATAAGAAAGCAAGATAAAGATATAGAGCATAGTAATGGAACCGTAGAAAAATAACAATATTTAGATTTTTGCTATCATCAAGATTAAATAAATCAGATAATAAAACCAACTATAGAAGTTAAGTTCACAAAATTTTTTAATGTCTAAGTTGATGACCATATTTGCATTATATGTTAATGAACTTGAAAGCTGAAGCAAACAAAAAAAGGAAACAGTTTAACTTACAAGAGTATCAAAGATTTTATATTTCCTATCTCCTTTGGTATGCTCCCACTTATATTGTTCCACATAAAATCTCTTCAACAACATCAAAAGAGAACAATTATTAGCCGGGAGACAAAAAGAATTACAGGAAAAAATAAAATAGAGAAACAGATGTCCATTCTCAGAGAGAAATTTCTGAGAATATATATAATAATCTGTCTTACAATATTTCCATATGAGCTAAGCGACCAAGCGATGGTGATAAAGTTCCAGACAGATTCATAGTAAGTAATTGCCTGCAAAGAAAAGAAATATAAAGAACATACTATTAACAGTTTTCATCTAAAAAAAGGTAGGAAAAAAGGGTTCTGGAGATACTTCCATTCAATGTATAGAGAAGTTTCCTTGAAACAACATTCTCTAATTTTCAGAGTTTGTAACTAGAATTCAGCTATTACATAATGCATTGCTTGGCATGAAGTAGCACTCAACTTGGCATGCAATTAACAAAGCAATAGAATTTCAGATTCATAAAAATAGTTGGTGGTCTATTTTAAAAACTTGGCCTATTTTATAAGTTCTTCCTCGAACTTGAAGGATGATAATAGAATGAAAAACTGATAAAGTTCATTCACACAAAATGAAATGAAAAGTGCAATCTGACATACACGCTTGTAAAGAAAAAAGTATGAATTCATACAGTTCTCTAACATGTAAATAGCCATCGTCCTTTGTTGTATTGAAGCACAAAACTCCTGTCCAATTCGATGTGCAGGGATCCCCGCGATTCCAATTGCTCAAATTTTTGTTCACATCAATCAAACTTCTCCTGATATCCTGCAATGCCCTTACTGCAAAATTCAGCACATATACTATTCATTATTTCATTCACTTGGCCAACTTAAAATATCAAAAAATTAATAAAGTTGTCTTCATTCTTTCCACCATCTCGTAGTTGATAAATTCACCTGTTTTGAGATCATCTAACACATGAATATCACCATCATCTAATACATAGAATCATTTGACTGACACCTTTTTTATATAATTATTTGAAGTTTTTAAAACACTAATTAAATTGATGAGTGTTTCTGATTATGAACTTTATACAGAAGCACTTCCTTATACCATAGAGTATAAGCAAAACTAGTCGGTGAGGTATTTAGAAAATATATTTCTTCAAACTAAAAGCAAAGGGAAAATAAAATGGAAAGACAACAACTGAAAAATCACCTTCGACAGGATCAGTGATGGCATCATTTTGTGCTCCAATAAGTAGTGGAGACCAACACAGCCACATGAGCAAAACAGCTCCAAAAGTGAAAGTTCTTGATAAAGACATCCCAAGGATGCTAAAACCATCAAAAGAATTCTGAAACATCTCTTATTATTAGTTACCACACAACCCAAACTATAAACTCTCTCTCCAAAGTATCAAAACATTCCTCCTGATAACAAGAAACAAACAAACAGCAAACACTTCATTAATTCAGAATTTGAAAATCCAAACATACCAACAAAAAAACAGCAAATCCCTCCAACCACTTACAAACAAAAGAAAACAGGAAATGGGTTTGAAAGAAAGCGTACAAAGAATATGGTAGAGTTTAATATAAATCGTTTTAAATCAAAGAAAATGAAAAAGAAGAAATTGGGAACCTTTTGCTCGGTACTATTCTGACTGGGTCATCACCATTACGAATGCAGCAGATATTATTGATGAAGATGATGATATAGACGATGGAGCTGATATCCATCTCTTTCGTTCACTGCCACTATTCTCAAATATTACATTTGTTGAATTAAAAAGTGGGTGGCAGTAGTATTACTTTGGCAATTTTGACTTTATTTGTTGGGTGGCTGATGGGTTTTTAATACTTGACTGGCTTTCTTTAAAGTTTTATGAACGAAAAAGAAGAAGAAAAGAGTATTGAAGGTTGTTGGTGGACTTTTTGGCCAAATAGGCAAATAGCAAACAAACAACCATGGAGGGAAAATTCCTTCAACCTAACTTTTTGTTTTATTTATTTGTTTTTTTTACATTATCATTTCTATTTTTTTAAAACTAATGTGATGTGGTACCGAAAATTTTGGTGAATTATATCTGAATTTCATCCTGGACCTATTTAGAGATCAACCAATGAAAAATATATATATTTTTTCTAAAATAATAATATTTATGATTATTTACTGGAAAAAAATTTATTTATTATATTCAAGAAAATTTTATAGAAATTTTATTGTGAAATTTGTTAAATATTTACTAATGATATCTATATCTACATCTATTTATACTATATATAAATTTGGAAATAGAAAGAGGGAAATAATGAGATTTTCGATAACATCTTTGATTAAATTAACGATGTCTTACAATAACTTTAATAATAACTAATTAAAAAATTACATTTTATTGGTTGATTTGATATATTTATAAAAATTATTTTTTTAAGCCAATCATGGGTGATCTGATTGTCTTCTCACTTATGTGAGTAGTAAAAAGTTTTGAGTTCGAATCCTCTCGACCGCAACTGTTTTCACTAATTTAGTGAGTCTAAAAGAGGATTATTCCTTGTTCTGTAGTCCGTAATATTATTTTGACCCATCAAACCTCTTAATGAATTAAAAAATTATTTTTTAAATAAATATTATAAATAATTAATCATTTAAAAATTTAAATTTTATTTTTACTAAATTTATTTTTTTGACCCTCAAACCTCTTAATGATTAAAATTAATTTTTTAAAATAAATATTATAAAAATAATTAATCATTTAAAAATTTAAATTTTATTTTTACTAACATTTATTTTCTTAATAAATATATATGATAATGAGACTTTTTAAGAAAGTTTTTAATATTATTTATTAAAATATTTAATTCCTATTTGATTATAATTTAGAAATATGTTATTTAGGAGATAGATAAAAAAAGAAAATAATATTTTTTATTAATATTCTTTTTTATATTTCTATAAATTGATTTGAATAGTATTTTTTAAAAAATAAATTTCAAATAGAATATATTTATATTTTATTTTAGGAGAAGATAAAAAAGAAGAAAAATATATTATTTTATATAATATTTTTTTTTATGTTCGTAAGATTTGATGGATATATTTTTTAAGAAAGTAAATTTTTTAAAATAGAATATTATTTTTATTAATATTTTTTTTATGTTCGTAAGATTTGATTGGATATATTTTTTAAGAAGTAAATTTTTAAATAGAATTTACATAATTAAATCTAAGATGGCGTACAGTTGAAAATTTTAATTTAAAAAATATATAAAAAATATTTTATTGATATATTTGTATACATTGAAATGTTTTTTTTTTATGTGAGTTTTAGAAGAGTTTTATTTTTTAATAATAATTTTTTATGTTCTTTTTCGTTATTGAATAATTTATAACTACTATCATTTTAATTTAGTAAGAGATTTATATTTTCATTGCAATAAATAGACAACTATTAATGATTAAATATTTTCAATTTTCTTGATTTTTTTTCTCTTATATCATAAATATATTTGACTTAAAAAAATAATGTTTAAGAAACTGGACAAAAACTAAAACTGCTTGGGTTACTTTTTTGGGGTTTCACAAATTTGTGTGTGTACATATATTTCTTTGTCTAATGCACCGGGTAAGTAATACTTCAATTGTATAACAAAGTGATTTTCATTATCAATTCAAATCATCTTCTCATTTATTTTCTTTTACCTAGCAATAAAAAATAATTTATTATTATTTTTTATTATAGTTGTATATAAATAGTGATTTGTGATTGAGGGCAGGAGGTTGGACTTGATTTTCTTTTTGGGCACCTATCAGGATTTTTAAAATCTGTATTTATAAATTAGAGACAAAAGGATTAGTTCTAGGGATTGGGTTGAACATTATTATGAGACCACTTCATTGTATAAAAATAGAATTAATTAAGTACATGAGAAGTAGCATTACAAGTACTTTGTACGATAAAATATAATATAACCACTTGTATTTATTTTAATCTATACAAGACTTATACTTTAATATTATGTAGATAAATAAATGAATATATAATGAGTATAGTCAACGTGCAACGAACATTATACAAAAGACTAGTAATAATAAAGATGAGATAAGTTATACTTCATTTGTTTATTTTAGTGATAACTAAAATGAGGTTATGATTTAGTTGTCACACAAACACAATGTTACCTCTTGGATAAAATTGAAAGTAGACCATTTATAATGGTGCAAAAATAACTCAAAATATCGTTAATTTCATTAGAGAAAAAAAGATTCGGTATTGATTGAGGCATAAAATAATATGAAATTAACGTTACTAAAATGAAGATTAAAGAAAAAAAAAACTTGGAATTGTTTTTCTTAAAATTTTTATAATTAGAGCATTTTAAGATTTTCAATATATTTAATAGTATTTTGTTAATCAACAGTTATTCAAATAATGTTTAATTAAGCGTGACATGACCTATTTCGTTTTCTTAAAAAATATATGGAATAGAATATTTCCATTTTGAGTCTTTTAAATAAAAATGAAATCTACATTTCAATTCATTTGGACTCAAATGAATAAAAAAATAATTATCCATAAAAAAAATTTTATATAGATAAATTTGAAATTTGGGCACAATAACCTAACTCATTTTGGTTGATTCACCTTCCTCGTTATATATATTTACTCAATTCATATTTATCCGATTTGGAATTACTCGCATAGTTCAACACTCCCCTCAAGTGGCAATTAGGCTACTTCATAAGCATACTGTGATTAGCACAAATCCATCAAGATATAACATACATAGAAACTTCTTTCATGTAGGTTCAGTTCCAAATTGTGATACCACATGAAAAGGTAGATTAAAACTGAAACTTTGCATTCAACCAATAGATTATTATTTACAATGTATTACAAATTAACAAATAAAATACATAATCAGTAGCACCTACCTTCTATTTTTAACTATCTTTTTCGCTTCACCTTCTTTTGCTTTTAATCTTCTATTGCTTTAATAAATTCATATCTGTTTTTCTTATAATAGATCTATATTTTTTGTTTTGTTGTTGTTAGTTATCTCCATATTTTGAGTTTTTTTTCGTTTATTCTTTGTGAGGGTTTATTTCTAAATAAAACTATGATATTTGATTTTATTTGATTGGAAACTTTAGATTTTGATTTGCAGGTGTGGATCTTTGATCTATGGAGCCTAGTATTGAGACTTGTTTCTTTATTGATGTTATTGATGCGTAGCGGTGGAAACTCATTGTATTCATAATATGTTGCAAATTATTGGAAAAACAATCTAGTTATAAAAGATCCATATGAGTTATTATTTTGACGTCCAAATCAATTAATGGATTAATTGCTGCTATGAAGAGTTATATCTTTTGTTAAGATCAACTTCAAGCGGAAAGATCTAATATTAATTAATTGTGCTGCTTTATTTTGACGTCCAAATCAATTAATGGATTAATTGCTGCTATGAAGAGTTATATCTTTTGTTAAGATCAACTTCAAGCGGAAAGATCTAATATTACTTCCTCTGTTCTATTTAGATATAGAAAACTAACTTTTCACACAGATTAAGAAGTTAGTTTAACTATAATTTTTACTTATTTCTTTTCTTATTTGCCCCCAAATCAGCATTAACTCCCTCTCAACTTTCTATGCAAGGCCATGCGTGTAGGAGAGAGAATTTTGATGCATTTAAAGATTTCATTTAGTTTTAGGCATAATTAAGCCAAGAAATATTGAAAATGGAAAGTCCAAAATGGTTGAAAGCAAATTTGACAGTAAAAATCCAAAATTTCAAAAATTAAATTTGGCTCCCAAACTAATTTGAAGTTGGGAATGAAAATTTGGGAGCAATTTTTTTGCGTTTGGAGCAATTTTTTGGTTTTGAAGAATAAAGAGTCTCTTCAAATTTCACAAATTTGTCATATATAAATAGACAATATTTCACAATTGAAATGAATCCATCTAGAGATTCAATGTGAACCACCAAATCAGTTTGATCTTAACCTAGTCACAACGAACTCGCATGCAACTGAAGAAGATATGCCCATATTCAGAAACTTGTTCATTGATCTTAACTATATTTCCACTGAAGAAGAACATGATTTTGCAGATAATCAGATCGTACAACCATCAAATAGTGTTCCACAAATGACAAGAAAAGGAAACAAACGAATAAAAATTTTTGTTAAAAAATATTGCTGGGATGAAAAAATAGTTTCCTAATTCTAGGTTGTATATTCACAATTTCATTTTTAGTGTCCCGGTTCCTGATTTTATGCATGTGGTTGTCATTATTACACGTTCACAGTTGCTTTCATGTTTGTGGTTCAATATTAATATATGTTACAAAGTTCATTCTCCAAGTTTATGCTTAATTACTTTTATTTGCTTACGGTTTAGAAAATAGTGTACCAATAAACGATGAGACGTTCTTAACATATGAAAATCTTTGTTAAGAAATGGACTCCAAGATAATGTTGTCGAATGGAAATCTTTGTTCAGAAATGGACTCCAAGATAATGTTGATGAATGGAAATCTTTGTTCAGAAATGGACTCATTATTGAAGTAGAAAACAAAATAAAGGTAATTTGGACTATTCACTTTTGCTAACTTTCCAAAGTTATCAAAAAAAGTTAAAATTCTCTATCTAAATAGAACAACTAAAAGCGAAAGTTTCTCAATCTAAATAGAATGGAAGTAGTGTTTCTTTTTTAAATTTTAGTTTCATTATTCAAAAGGATATGAATTCTTTTGTTTCGTTAAAAAATTAGCGAACACTATTACCTATTAATAGTAAAGTTCTACGTTTGGTCTGTATGCTTATTTGTAATTATTGATATTATTATTAATGAATTACATTAAAAAACTAATAAAAGACATTGTATTTACATTTTAAC